CCGTAATCTGTCCCTTGAGCCGCACCAGAGTCTCATTAAAACGTGCCCCATAAATGTTAAAAAATTTACACATAAAAAAATTCCATGCATGAAACTGAAACCGTACGTTTTACAGCCTTAGTTTGAAATCTTGCATAATATATAAAACCTTGGCCCTGCACCAGGGGCCTGTAAATCAGATTTTATAAAACAAAAAGCTTTTACCTTTCAAAGGGGTTTGGGGAACTTGCAAATTTTACAAACTTTACCAACTGCCAGTCAGAGGCTGCTGGGCCCAGAGAAGGGATCTAGGACCAGGTAAGAAATAGACTTGGTTAGCACCAGGGCTGTGGGAACTGGAGCCCCCCTCTCCCCAGGGGGTCCAGCTTAACCACTTTAAGTGGAAAGCAACCTCCATGGCATGGAAACTGGAGACAGGGACTTAGAGAGTGTCAGAGTATGGGCTGGGCCAGGGGGTGGGGAGATTTTATTAGAGGCACTCTCTTATTTGTAAGTGAGGGCTTTATTGCCACCTGGGAGAAGAGGTGGGGAAACTGCGGGAGGAGCATAAAATCAGGAGTCAGTGACTTGGGTTCTGGTCCTGACAAGTCAGTTCTCTTTTCTGGATGTCAGTGTCTTTGGACTTGCTTCTCTCTGGGGTTAGGTCCGCCCTCCCCCGCATCAACTCTCTGTGAGTCCCCCCCATCCCACCCCGCAGCAGGGGAGCTGTGCAGCGGCAAGCTCACAGGGAGGGAAGCTCGCTCAGAAATCTGGGATGCTCTCTCTGATCTTTGGGGCAGCTTGGGAGAAGTGACTCAATCCTCCCATGGGGATTTGTTTGGAAAAGCGACTCTAGAAGATTGCAGAGAGCAAGAGAGAGACTGGCAATGCGCGGGAGAAGAGAGAGACCCGCAGGGAATTGGGAGGAGTGAGTCATAGTGGACCGAGGACAGCTGGGCGGGGCCAGAGCTGCCCTCTGGCCCTGGGTAGGGAGGAGAGATTGGGGAGGGACCTTCCGCGTTTGTGGGGATCCAGGTGCCCTCCTGACAAACCCATCTACGAAAGTCAGTATTCAAGGGCAAAGGAAAGCCACCCTGACACACATATATATAAAAAATAAATCTCTCAATTATCTCAGCTCATTTGCTTGGGGTCCCTCATTTTATGTCCCTGCTCGGCTGCGCAGTATATCTGTCCGGATAAAGAGTTACAGTCCGTTGGGCTACGTGTGCTGGGTTGTAAAAAATACAGATGCCAAATTAACTGGCTGTGGCACTCGGCAGCTGATTGAGCTGGTAATAACGCGATCTGACCTTTTTCTAATTTCTAATTATGTGCATCTCGGCTGTGCTGGCGACATGATTCTTGTTTTAATGATGACTCCTGTGCTTGGTCTCTTCATCTCCCCACCTGATACAGGACCAGGAGCAGGGGTGGCAAAGGGCACTGTTTGACACCCCTCCATCCCACCCCCAATTTCAGCCATTAAATCTCTTTGGTGGCCAGGAGGTTAGGTCAGGGAGCTGGAACACCTTGCCATGATGATATTGCATTTGAGATTAATCTCCTGGGTGCCAGGCATTTGTAAAGGCCAATTCCATGAGCCACCTCATTAACTTTTTTTAAAATTACAATCACATGAGATAGGTATATTAGCCCTACAGATGAGGAAACCGAGCTTCAAAGCAGTTCAGCCAGCCATCAAAGTCACAAACAGTTAATGGGGACGCTAGGCTCATCTTTTGTCTTTCAAGTGCTGTTTCAAACCTCCCAATTTACATAATCAACCAATCGTTGACTAACTCATCTAGACAAATCAGGTCCATGAGACAAGATGAAACTCCTAAAGATGCTCCACCAGCTGGACCACTCCCAGCCCAGCTATCTGATACAGAAGCCCAGAGGACACCAGAAGCTTGGGACCACTAGGGTATCTTCCACAACATCCATGTCCCTAGTAAAGGCCTGGCATATAGCAGACACTCAAGCCAGTTTTATTGGATTGAATCAAAAGATCTGATTCTTTGAACAGAATGCTGAGAGACCTGAGCAATATTGGCAAGGGCAGAACAAAGCCACGTTTTGATTTTTCTAGGCTGTGCTAGAATGGGAGGTTGTCTTCAGTCCTTTGCCTTGTAAGAAGG